CAAAGGCCCCGGTCTCTGAGATGAGATGGCAGAGTTTGGAGCTCAGATGGGCAGAGTGACTGGAACTGAGAGGAAGGGAGGACTGGAGAGGAAGGGGCTGTAGAGAGAGGTATAGAGGGGTCCTTTGAGGCGTCAGCTAAGTCCTGCTCTGTGCATGCATGGGAGGGAAGGGAATAATCTCTGGGAATGAAGCAGGTGGAACAATCCCAGGCTCACACAGGCTGAGAAGAGTTCCTGTTCCCAGCAGCCAGCATGGAAGGACCACGCAAACCATGGCCCATCAAGTATAATCCTCAGAAAGGGACCGCCTCAGTAGTGGGGCCAAGTGAGCCTGAGACTAAAGGCTGTTCTGGACCAGCACCAACAAAGCTTGAAAGCCTCGAAAGGATCAAACCGATTCCAAGTAACTTAACCATGACCCAGGACAGAGCCCAAAACCCAAACCAGGAGAAAAATCAATAATAGAAACATAACTAGAAATTACACAGATGATACAAAGGACAAGAATAAATCAAAGGGAGATTATAAAATATTTTAAACTGAATAAAAATAAAACCACATATATCAAAATGTAATGCATGCACCCAAAAGCAATGCTTAGATTTACAGCATTAAACTCTTATCACAAAAGAAGTTGTTTTAAAAATCAATGAGTGCTATGGGAAGGGTATGACAGACTGAAAAGGAATAATAGCGCAAGGGAATTTTTTTTTTAAGATTTTGTTTACTTATTTGAGAGAGAGAGAGCACGAGTGAGTGAGCATGGCAGGGGCCGAGGGTGAGGAGAGAAAAACCCAAACAGCCTCCACTCTCAGCACAGAGCCCAACACGGGGCTCAATCTCACGACCCTGAGCTGAAACCAAGAGTTGGACACTTAACCCACTGCACCACCCAGGTACCTCTAGCACAAGGGAAGTTTTGGTTGATGGAACTATAATGTATCCTGATTATGGTGGTGCTGACCAAACCCACACCTGTGCTAAAATTCATACAACTACACACAAAAAAGTTTAATTTCAATGTTAATTAAAAAAAAATTATCTTTAAAAAAAAATATCAATGATCTCAGCTTCCATCTTAAGAAACTACAAAAAGAAGACTAATTTAAATCTGAAATAAGCAGCTGGAGGTAAGAAATAAAGAACAGAAATAAAATAAAAAACAAAAAAAAATACAGAAAAATCATTGAAACCAAAAGACAATTCTTTGAGTATCAGTAAAATATTAAATTGTTAAATCTCTAGCCAAACTGATCAGGAAAAAGCAAAAGAAGACCTAAACAATTGATACCATGAATTAGAAAGGAGACATCACTATAGATCCTACACACATTAAAATGATAATAAAGAAATATAATGAATAAATTTTTGCCAATAAATTTGACAGTTTAGATGTAATGACACATTCCTTGAAAGACATAAGCTATCAAAGCTCACACAAAAAGAAATAGATAAAGCTTCATGAGTCCTATATCTACTGAAGAATCTGAGTAGTTAAAAACCCTCCCTCAAAGAAAACTCTAGGTCCAGATGGATTCAGTGGTGAATTCTACCAAATAGTTAAGGAAGAAATAATACCAGTTCTATAAAAACTCCTCCATACAATCCAGGAGTAGAAAATACATCTGAATTTATTCCATAAGGCAAGCATAACTCTGAAAGCAAATAAAAGAAGAGAATTATAAGACCCTAAACTAGTACCACTCTTGGACATAAATGCAAAAATCCTTAACAAAATTTTAAGCGAATCAAATTCAGTAATGTATAAAATGTGCCTGCCACATTAGACAGTACCAACCCAAAGTGAATATTACCTGAAGGGATTAGAAAACACTTCCTGGAGTAGGTGACTTCCGACAGGCAAGCAAAATTTCGACAGGGGGTGACACAGAGGTAGAGAAAATGGCAGGAAGAAACACAAATGAATATAAAAGGTAGAAGACTAGCCAGGAACAGGTAGGCATGTTGGCACTGACTGCAGTGGCTGCCAGGCTTCCAAGGAAGCTCATGTCTTCGGGAATAGTCCCAGACACAGGGCTGAGCCCCCTAGGGCCAAGTCTGTGCTATGTGACCCTGACCCCCAGCCATAACTGCATGTTCCAGAGAGAGACACACCACCACCAAGCTGGAACAGTCAGATCTCGTGCCCAAGAATTTGAAACCTGAACAGAGACAGACTCTCAGCCGGGGATCTGCTGGGGCCAAATCATGATCTACCCTGAGGGAAGTCCCCCGAGCTGGTTTGTTCCTGCCCTTCCTTCAGCTTTTGAGCAACTTCTTGGATCCTGGGAGCTGCCCCAGGGGCCTTCCTATAGACTTTCCCTTCTACTTGAGTTAATGAGAAGTAGTTTCTGTTGCTTGTAACCAGAAGAACTTTTTAAAGAGTTCAGTGAGTACCACAACAGCATCCCCAAGTTTATCTCTATGAAAGAGTTCTATCACTAGATAGAAGTTTAAACCCAGAGCCAAGGGTCTCTGAAGGGAAGTCAGAGGAACCAGATCAAGTTGGCAAGGTGGGTGCCATCTGGATACTCAAAATGACAGGCAGACAAGGGTGAGGTTTAAGGGTTACAAGAAGGCACGAAGGCTTTCTGAACAGGGGAGGGACATGGTCAATAGTCTTATGGAGGACCACCTGGCAGTGCTATGGAGGATGGACCATGAGATGGCCAGATGTTTGACCCCTGGGAGGCTGTGATAACAGCCACTGGAATGCCATGCCCAGATCTCCCTGCTCTCATGCCCCTGGTTCTCACCTCCAGCATCTAGCTTAGGACTAGGCACCAAGTCACACTCAGTTAAGTTCTGCTGATCAGACAGGCTGAAGAGGGAGAACTGACAAAACCTGATGACTAAATGCTGGGATCAAAGGAGGGAAGGAACTAAAGGTCATGGCAGTTTCAACCTTGGTTGGCAATTTCAAGTGAACCAGAAATGGCAGGAAGTGTGCTGAGGTCAGGGTATACTGAAGGAGGATGAGCACAGCATTTCAAGGTGGTATTGAAACACCTGGGTAGGAGTCTCCAGGATGCAGGATGCATCCAGCAGGAACTCAGACGCAGACAGCACAGAAGTCAGGGGCCAGGGAGTGGTGGGCGATCCTTGGATGGGAGTCGGTCAGTCTTGTGGAGTTCTGTTGCCACCCAGAAACCGAGGGCTACTGTGTGCCACGCACCAAGCCAGGCGCTGGAGGGGATCACAGAAGCCATGGGGGTGAACAAGACTGGCGGAAAATGTCAGCAGGACTCAGAGCCCGCTGGGCTCCTTTTAGAGATCTTAAGCCAGGTCTACAGACTTGCATGTGAGCACCATGACTTAATGTGAGAAGAGCCATCACGGTGGATCCTAGCCACAGTGGGAAAAGCCTGGAAAGAGTTTCAGTGCCATTCAATAAGGGGATGATGGCAGAATAAATGATGCACAGACATAGGATTAAAAAGAAAAGGCAGGGGAGCCTGGGCGGCTTAGCTGGTTAAGCATCTGACTCTTGATTTTGGCTCAGGTTATGATCTCAGGGTCGTGAGATCGAGCCCCGCATTGGGCTCTGTGCTCAGTGCGGCATCTGCTTGAGATTCTCTCTCTCCCTCTGCCCCCGCTTCCCCGCTTGCTCTCTCTCTCAAAATAAATAAAATCTTAAAAAACCAAAAAGAACAAGGCAGTTCTCTAGGGACGTGAAACGATGTGTGGATACATGATGACGTGAAAAAAACAGGATAGGAACGGACAATTGGGACACCTCTATTCATGTTTAGGTGAGGGACAGTCGTAGAAAAAAAACCCTATATACTCATACTTGGGTTTGTGTGGATATCTTTAATTTTTTTTTAAAGATTGATTTATTTATTTTGGAGAGAGAGGGTCCAAGAGCAGGACGGGGGGGGGGGTGGCGGGGAGAAGAAGAGAGGGAGAATCCCACGCAGACCTGAGCACAGAGCCTGAGGTGGGGTTCGATCTCATGACCCTGAGATCATGACCTGAGCCGAAACTAAGAGTTGGACACTTAGCCGACTGTGCCACCGAGGCGCCCCTGCATGGATATCTTTAAAAAGACACAAGAAACTGCTAAGATGAACCACCTCAAAGAAGAGAGTGGAGGACAGGGATGGGAGGTGAGGCTTTTTTCCCCATATATCCTTTTGCCACTGGTCCACTTATTTATCAGCATTAATGATTTAAGAATAAATACTTATTACGTTGAGTGCTTTTTAAATGTCTCTAGACATAGGCTATCTAGTAAAACCCACCTCTACCTACCTCCCAATTAGCTTATGAAGAACCTACGAAAACATCACCTGCTGCAAAGTCTCATCTATGCCAAGGCCAGCTCGGGGCAGTGGCCAGGAAGAATGTTCTCGATTTCTTCTGTGGAGAGCTTCTAATGTGGGGGGTTTCAGAACCTGCCCGTGTCAAGCCAGGTGGGGGGCATATACCAGCGGGAGTCCCCGGTGAGGAAGTGAGTGAATGAATCCTAACCAGGTCTGTCAGCTCCACAGGACTCCGATCCTGACCACTCCACCTCCACGGGGGAAGCCAGAGAACCACACCTTTCTTCAGAAAGGAAACCTATGCTTCCACCCAATCTGCCCAGAGTCTATTTTAGCCCTCAACCCAGAGCAAGAACGTCAGCTATTATAAATAGCAAAACCAAGATTACAATTTGACTGATTTCAGTTCTGACGTTAGGAAGAGAGGTCGGATACTAAGCCAGTCGTAAAAGCCAGGGGTCGAAAGAAAAACCACAGTGTGAATATAGTCATACTGGGTTAGACAGTCACTTGCACCTTCTCTCCCACCCCACCCCACCCATACTGCCCTAGTAACCAATTCCTGTGGCTTTGGTATGTACAAAAGCACCTGAGAAATTCTAACAAGGCCAAAGAGAAGTTTTGTAGGAGTTTGCCAAAACCAGAAAGGACATTCCTCAAGGAAAGCGGCTTTCTTTTTTGGTGCCACGAGACAGAGAGGGATGTCACGAAGGCAGGCGAGGCGGGGAGGCTTACCTTTGTTATGAGACATGGCGTAGAGGAGGCAGAGCACAAACAGTGCATGGTAGTCATCATCTGGGCTGTCCAGGGCATGGTACACCATATCGAGGAAGGGTCTGGAAAAGAGGAGGGGCACACATGAGCCTCTTGGCACACACGGTGGACAGCTCTCCTCGCCCACCTACACACGAAGTGCTGGCCACCTTTGCCTTGTACAGCTCTGCCCCCGGTGTGCGGCGAGTCCAACGAGGGCCCCGTCCAGCACCAGGCGTGGAGGACGGGCTCTGCCCATGGCGAGCTAGCTCCAGGGGAAACTGAGGAACAGGCCACTTCGTCACTCAACAACCGTGGCCCGGCTGTTCCAGACACTGGGGGTAAATGATGCCAAGTCCCTGCTCTTAGGGCACTCCCATGCCAGAGAACAGATGGACCAGATCATCACGTCAAGGAGAGTGACAAGGCAAAGATAGCAGACAAGGCACCAACAAGTCCAAACAATTTCAGAACGCGGGCCCTGGAGCCAGACTGCCTGGGTTCCAGTTTGGATTCTGCCTCTTCTGAGCTGCAAACTCTTGGGTTAGCTACCTAAAACCTCTCCATTTCCCCACTGGGAAGGGCTCCCAGGGGGGTTTAACATGAAACAACAAAGGACAGGCATTTAGCACCAGGCCAGGTGCACAGTGTGAAGGGTGCTCGCATGTGGGAGCTGTGGCCAGATTTCTATTTCGAGCAGTCCAAGGGCATTTCTCCCGGAGCCCACTTTGGCAGGTCCTGCAATTTTTTGGACTGATTTTCCTGATGGGTAAGAATCGATGTGAGGGTCCACCTCTGGTGCTTTGTGGGAGAGGTCTAGAGAGTGGCTGCAAATATCACAAACCACATACCCCAAACGCTGCCCTTCCAGGTGAAGGACCTGGCCTGGAAAGACTCTTCATCACAAGGATAATAGAATATGCACGGGTCTGGCCCGTCAGCAGGAGGCTCTGAGCCTGTGACCACCCGCAGCTGCCTCTGTGGAGGCCAGGCTGAGTCCAAGAAAGTCAGGCCAGGCTGAGTCCAAGAAAGCAGAGCACCTCGAGGAGTGACCGAGGGCACATGTGACCCCTAGCAGGACGCACAGCCACCGTCAACATCACCGTCTAGGGGGAGTGAAGAGGTGTGGCAGAGAAACGGGGAAACCGTTCACTGCATCACCTTTTATACTTTTAAAAAATTTGAAATCCGTGAACGTACCAGTGATTCAAAATACTAAACTGAAAAATGCAAAAGAGAAAGTAGTGCAAACGTTCTTGTCGTAACATTTCAAATAAACACATGACGCTGGGAAATTAAAAGAAGAGCCCTTCCTTAAAGGGGACATTTACATCTGGGCTGTTTCTCCAGGGCCCCAGATGGGGCACCTTTCAGATGCGTGAATAGTTTTGCCAGGTGTGGATCTGGGTTTCTGTAAGTGCCTGGCAGTAACACTTCCTTCCTTCCTTCCTTCCTTCCTTTCTTTCTTCTTCTTTTTCTTTCTTCCTTTCTTCCTTCCTTCCTTCTTTCCTTCCTTCCTTCTTCTTTCTTTCTTAAGATTTTATTTATTTATTTGACAGAGAGAGACACAGCGAGAGGGAACACAAGCAGGGGTAGTGGGAGAGGGAGAAGCAGGCTTCCCGCTGAGCAGGGAGCCCGATGTTCGGCTCGATCCCAGGACCCCGGGATCATGACCTGAGCCGAAGGCAGACGCTTAATGGCTGAGCCACCCAGGCACCCCAGTAACACTTTCAACTTAAGAGTGGGATGAAGAAGGGGCACCTGGGTGGCTCAGTTGGTTAAGCAACTGCCTTCGGGTCAGCTCATGATCCTGGAGTCCCTGGATCGAGTCCTGCATCAGGCTCCCTGCTCGGCAGGGAGTCTGCTTCTCCCGCTGACCCTCCCCCCCTCTTGTACTCTTCTCTCTCTCTCATTCTGTCTCAAATAAATAATAAATAAAATCTTTAAAAAAAGAGTGGGATGAAGAAGAAAATTTTTCTTGCAAACCAGCTGCCTGGGATGTTGATTGTGTTTTCATTCGAGAGCAATGCAAATAACCAAACGCCCAGGAGCAGAGGGAGGGCTGAGTGGACATAGCATCTTCTAGGAGATGAAATAGCGTGAAACCATTAGCATTTTGTTTACTGAGTGTATAGTAAAGTGAAAAAGATGCCTGGGGTTTGGTATCAGACAGAAAAAAGACAAATAATGGGCATGGTATGGTATAAGTACCGGGGGCAAGCAGGATACAATTCCCACTGAGAAAGGACTAGCAGGAGATAACCAGAACGTTCGTGACAGCTGACCTTGATGCTGGCATCATGGAGACCTTTCTCCCTTCTTTATGCTTTTTTTCAAAATGTCTTTACATTTTCTGCATGTGTGTTACTTTTATATTTTTTTTTAAGAAAAGAATGCTTAAGACATTTTTCAGTTTCGGAGGCCTATACTTAACCCTGAATGCAGACAGAGCCCATGATACACAAGGAACAGGAGAACAGTTCCACTTTGTACTATGCTGTTTCTTCAGACAAGTAGACCAATGTCAAGATCCGATTCATGTCAAGGAGAACACACTGCCCCCTCCTTCCTCCAGAGTGCCCTCCTCCCTGCTCCGGGCCTGGAATGGGGAGGAGAGAAGTCCTCGGCAGTGTTCCAGACAACCAACAATTCAATACCTTCGCAAAGGAGAAGGCAACTTTCCACCTGGGCCAGTGTCTCCTTGGCATTTGGTCTCAGAGCCAAGGACAGCCCTGGCCCAAGGGTCCCGGGGCCACAAGCTTGTATGTGAGCCCAACTCAAGGCACAAGAATCAGCTTCCATTATAAGCCACAGGGTAGAAGATGCCAGTTAAAGTCACTGAAAGTTAAGAAACAATTTCAATCGACTCTAAGAAAAACCCTCTCTTCACTATAGATCAGGAAAAAAAAAGAAGTCTCAACCCAACATTCAAACATAACATTTCGTCTTTCCGCGTTTTAAAATATATATATATATTTTTTCTTCCTTAAGCAAAGCTACAGTATTACCATACTATGTAAAATATGTGCTCTGTTTCCATTTATTAGATCCTAAGAAACCCAATACATCCTGACAGTATTCACTTAAAAGCAGCAGCTCCTATTCTATTAAGCAGATGCACCCCCGTTTGCTGATACACCCCCAGCACTACTCATTTGTGGTTTTTCCAATTATTCATATCCTCACTAATGCTGTGCCAAGCAATGAACAGTTGTTTTCCTCTCCCTTTCTGAGTTTAGAATGATTTCCTGAATTTTCAGAGCTTCAGGAGTTATGTTTTTTGCTGCCAAGCAAAATCAAAACGGTCTCTGTGAGTTCCAACAACTGATAGCTGACACCACACTCCAGTGTTTTTTAATTTAAACCCAACTAAAAATGGCTCCCTTGTGCATCTGACAGAAATGAGTCCTGACTGTTAGATAACTGAAACATTTGCCAAGCAGACAGGTGAAGGAAAAAAACGGGCGTGCTTCAACTCTTCAAGCTGGACTAATAAGTAGGATGGGGTGTGTGTGTATTCCCGCCACTCCACCCTGAGGGTTCAGGAAGTGAATGCTTTGTAGGCTGACAGCGAACCCTGCTGCTGTGCATGGGATTAGGTTATGGCAGGGGTCTCTGCAGCGGGGCTCCTCGGGAAGGAAAATAACTCTGAAATGAAAAAGTCCTCCTGATAGTTCACTGCACACTTTGGAAGCAGCCTTCCACCCAATCGCATTCTGGAAGGGCTGGTGCTGCAGCAAGTTTCCAGGAAATGCGGCATCTCAAAGGTTTAAGAGAATGTAGCTTCAGCAGGCCATCAGTGAAGTGAACACTTAGGCAAAAAGCTGCAGGACAGCAGCGTGAAATCACGCTGGCTGAGTGAGGAGGGCAGGCCCTATGCACGGCGGGGTAGCATGGCAATGAATGAATGAGACAGGGAGATCCAAATGCGGCCCCCAAGGGGATCCTTCCTGGGAGCAGCAGAGCACTGCCAGGGGTGGCCAGTACAAGGCTGTGAGGCGACCCACACCCTTTAGGGCAGGGCCCACCACCAAAGGGCTTGGGGGAGGTGGCACCATGTCTCGGTCTTCCTCTTTCCAAGGGGTGAGCACTCCAGAGCTGAGTGTCAGCTCTGTCCTGTGGCCTCTCGAGAGGGGCTGGAGAAGCAAGGAAACGCAGGAAGCAGGACAACTTTGCTGAGAGGCCGAAGAGGCCATCTGGCTGTTGGAGGAGGCCCCAGGTTACCTGTGCTGGACACCCCAGCCAAGGTACCCCCTTTCCCCCCACCGCTCAGCCCATCTCCTCTTCCCAGCTGACAGAGCAGCAACCCCCACCCTGACTGGTGGGCTGGCCTGTGGGCTCCCCTCCCCACTCCCACCCCGCCCAGCACCAGGAGGACTGGGCCCACTGGTGGCACCTGCTCCACAGTGCACTCTCCAAGCCCGTGGCGGCGGCACTCTTCTCCTCGTCCGTGGTGTTCTGTTCCTGCACAGACGTGCTGGCCGCCAGCTCCGGGAGCTTGCCGCGCTCCATGATCACCATCTCTATCTCTAGAAGGAAATACAGAGACGGGGATGAGCTCGGACGGCTCCACAGCCCTGGATTTCCAGACACAGTCATCCTAGAGACAGAGCCCAAGTAGACCGCTCCTCACGCGTCCAGCAAGCGTTCGCCAGCAGTGACAGGAGCGTCAGCAACAAGCTGGGGAGAAATAAGACAGAGGCCACAACCTCTCTTTCCTGGCATCTTGGCAACGCCAAGAAATGTGGCCCTGATTTTAATAAAAAGTGCAAATTGCAGTAATTTATTTCAAGATGTTTTTTTAAGGCACTTATTTTACTTTACTGACACCACACTTCCTTCCCAAAGGAGTTGAGGCAGCAGAGGGAAGAAAAATGATATGTGGTTAATAAAATATAACCAAATTCACTGAGAAGATTCTGAAACTGTTTACACTCTAGGAAAGGCTTTGACATGCCTGAAGCCTTTTGTTTTCCTTTTCCACTGATGACTTCCAGAAGGCAGAGGGAGGTTAGGAACCTCGCTGTGTTTTTCCCAATTAAGGGCCACTTGTAGGAACCGACGTAAGCATGGGGTACGTTTTTAGTTTTCAAAGAAGGCATTATTAACCAACAGAGATGAAAGAGAGATGGTTAGCTACTGGCCATAAGGGGTCTCCGTCACAGAGTTCTTTGACGTGCAGGTGTGGACCTTCAAATAGTTAGTTCTTGGAACCCAGAGTTCAGGTCATCTCCCCTACCTTCAGGAGACAGATGTGGGGGAAAGGATGCTGATGTGTGAAGCTGCACTTGTATCTGGAGGGATAGGAGGGCTCAGGGACTCCAGCGGCCCCCCGCCATCCATGATCTGCCCCTGGACTCGTGCAGAGGCCTCCCAGCTGGCTCTGCCCTCCTTTACCCCCTAGTTTGTTCTCCGCACAGACCAAGTGACTTTAAGTGGAAATGAGCTCCCGTCGCCCTTCTGTTCAGAATTCCCCACTGCCTTCCCATCACATGGGGATGAAATCCACATGCCGTCCAGTGTCGAGGCAGTCTGTTGTGCAGCCCTGCTCCTCTCCACCTCTGACCTCACTCCCTGGCCTTCTCCCCAGCACCCCTCACCACCTGTGCTGAGCTTCTTCCATGCTCTTTGACGGGCCCAAGCTTATTTCTGCCCCAGGATATTTACACGGCTGCTTCCTCTGCCCAGAATGTTTTCACCCCGGGTCTCCCCTACCCTGGCCTGACTCAGTGACATCCTTCAAGGCCCAGCTCAGATGCTACCACCTCAGAGATGTCTTCTCACCTCCTTCTGCACCGGTTTTTACCTCCTTCAATTATTATCAAAAATCCATATTTCATTCATAGTTCCTTAGTTTTTCCCTACAGTTCATATTCTGTTCCAGGATCCCATCTCAGGGACCCCATTACATCTAGTCGTCATGTCCCCTTAGGCTCCCCTTGACTGTGCCAGCTTTTGACTTCCCTGCCTCTGGTGACCTGACGGTTTGAGGAGCGAGAACTGGTCAGGTATTTTGCAGAATGTCCCTCAATCTGAGTCTGTCTGATGTTTTCAGATCATTAGACTGGGGTAGAGGTTTCTGGAAGGAAGCTCACACGGGGGAAGTGCCCTTCGATGCCGGCTGTAGCAAGGGTGCAGACTACCAACACGGCCCGACCACCGCCGACGTCAAGTCTGCACCACTTGGCCAAGCGAACGCTGGTCAGATTTCTCCACCAGAAAGTTACTTTCCCTCCTCCCCTCACTGCAAGCTCTGTGGGAGTAAGTCATTAAGCGCAGCCCACACTTAAGGAGCGAGGAGTTATGCTCTATCTCCTGGAGGGAGGAGCTACATACATTATTCGGAATTCTCCTGGATAAATCTGTCCCTCCCCCTCTTATCTCAATTTTACTTTATAGCATTCACAACTGCCTGGACTTCCTATTTTTTATTTATGGTTGCTGCCTGCCTTCCGCCACTAGAATGGGGTTTCATAAGAGGAGCCCCCTTCTCTGTCTTGCTCTCCACTGGAACTCTAGTGTCGAGCCCAGCTCCCGGTACACGGCGAGTGCTCACCAACGGGATGGGGGTACGGATGACTGGGGGAGCCCAGCATGGGAGGCTTTGGCGGCAGGCAGAGCTGGCAGCGACGCACGGCCCCTATGACATGTAGCGGGTGGCCCAGGGCCCCACCCAGTCTGCCCTGAGCGTGCCCAGCATTCTCACTGGAGGCAGCGCGTGCCCACCACCCTCTGGAACTCCACTAGGCACGGCTGCGCCTGCGACTGTCCTCTAGCACAGAGGAGTGCACCACCCACCCATCCACACGGGCCCGGACCACCAGCCCCTTCCTCCCAGGGTGGACTGGAGCCTCCCACGGGGCCATCACACAGGTGGGGGCTGACCCATGATTTTCAAGTGCAATACGGACAAATGTTCTGTTTGCAGAGTTCTGTGTTTATCTTAATGTGCGTTAGAAGATTCTAACTGCACGGAAAACCTGTTCTTCTGTGGATATCACTGCTTAGGAGAAGGCGAGATTTAAGGGGAAAAAAACCAAGTGAGTCAATTCACAGGGAGCTACTGAGTAAACAGCAGTCCGAGCAGCATGGCCACGGCAGAGAGCAGGTGGAAGTGCAGACTGCTGAGAACCACTGTTCCTGCGCCTGCACCTTCACCCCCACCAACCTCGTCCAGCTGCCTCCCTACGAGCCTGACCTCTCTGCGATGGGGGCACTCTGTCCCCACTGGGGACACATGATTCACGGGGCAGTACCTCTCTTATTTTTAATTATCCTCATCTTTAAACAATCTGTTTTGTTTTGTGATGTATCTAACCTTGGCACAGCAATACAAGTAGGTATAATTTACAATAAATTTGTCTATATTGGGGAGCTGCATGCTTAAATGACATTTATTTGATTGTTAGTGTTTACCGATGGGAGCATGCCATTGAAAACATCTGAAGACTACCCAGCAGGACTGTGATGCCAGCCTCTAGCTTCTACCCTGGGACCTCTGACACACCTCCTGCCCTGCTGCGAGCTCCCCTCCCTCCCAGCCCAGCTGATGAGGCAGGAACTCAGCTTCAAGGACTCCCCAAGGTTACAGGACCAAGCCCTAGCACCTCAGCCTAGAGAATACACCTGCTGTGACGTGGTTATTCCTTTTTAATTTCTTAATCTCCCTGGTCACTCAGAATTCTGGAGCACACAGCCATTAAAGATAATCCAGTCTAGTGCTCACCAAACTTAGTTAAGGAGTGGCATATTAATTCTGAATGACAATTTCCCACGACACACCACCACAGACAGGAGCAGAGCTGCTCTGGCTAAAGGGTGGGTGGGTTCCCAAACGTCCCTGGCTGCGGGTTTCCTCCTGCACTCCACAGAAGCCCCTAAAGCTCCTTTCTAGAATTCTGGAGCTTCACACAGAACTGCTAAAAACCCCTGGTTCAGTCCTAGATACTGTATATGAGGAAACAGAAACCCAGAAACATAGTGACAACTAATATGATGAGAAAAGGAGCAGCAAAAGCCAGGACTGCTGCCTGCCCTACTCCCGGGTCCTCTCCTTGTGCAGGACCAGGCCCACGAGGGTCTCTCGACGCACAATGAGGTTCCTGAACCTTGGTTCTGTCACCCTGGTTCCCACCTTCCTTATCCTCATCCGGCCAGCACAGTTATGGGGATTAATTCTCTAGATGAACGTACGACAGTCCTTTCCAGTGCCAATGCAGTTGCCACTGCCCCTTCTTTTTAACAATTTTATCCAAACAACTCTTAAAAGTAGTGATTCTTACCCAGCGTCTGTCAACTCCCTGAAACTTTATGCAAAATGCCACGTGGGCATGGGGGGGTTTAATAAGTTTTTTTGGGAGAGGGTCTGTCCAGATTCTCACCATTCTAAAACGGATTCCACAATCATCTTTAAAAGAGGGTGCCAAAGAGATCTGATCTTTTTTTTTCCTGGTGAGATTCAAGGTCAAAGTGAATGTCCTCTTTATGCCAGACCAGAACATCCGGCACAGTTCTGCAGAACCTTCTGGGCCCTCACTCCCACAGCTCCCTGTAGATACATGCCTGTCTCAGCGCAGCCTTGCTCCCCGCCCAGGGTACACGCACCATGCTGCCGCCACCAAAGAAAGCAGATCAGTGGGCTTGCATGTGTGGATTTCCACAGATGGTCACTGAGGCCAGGACTCAGGCTCTGATGATGAATTCCCAGGGGGCTCCATCTGAACCTGCTATAACATACACATGAGCCCCTGTCCCCTATGGGTTTCTATTTTGGAATTTGAAGGGACTGTGGCAACAACGCAGCTCAGTTTTGCTCCAACTTCAGTCATTTGCCTGCCTCTAGGATGTCTGCCATGTCTCTGTATTGCCTGTACTATTTGTTATCTACCTCATCATGAGCTCACTTTTTTCTTTTGATTTAAACACATTTTATTTTTTTTTAAAGATTTTATTTATTTATTTGACAGAGAGAGACACAGCGAGAGAAGGAACACAAGCAGGGGGAGTGGGAGAGGGAGAAGCAGGCTCCCCGCGGAGCAGGGAGCCTGATGCGGGGCTCGATCCCAGGACCCTGGGATCATGACCTGAGCTGAAGGCAGACGCTTAATGACTGAGCCACCCAGGCGTCCCTAAATACATTTTAAAAGGAAACTTTAGGGGAGCCCAGCTGGCTCAGTCAGTGGAGGGTGCGACTCGTGATCTCGGGGTTGTAAGTTCTAGCCTCACACTGAGTGTAGAGATTACTTAAAAGAATAAAATCTTAAAAAAAAAAAAAAAAAGGAAACTTTAAAGCACTATTATACCCTTTAATTGAGCAATCCCACTGGTAGGGATTTATTTGGAAGATACATCCCTTAACAATATAAAAATGCACACACTCAAGGGTATTCACTGAAGTATTACTTGTAATTGCAAAATATTGGAAACTACCTAACTGTCCAAGCATAAAGATCGGTTGAATAAACTTTGGTACACACACACACACACACACACACAGTGCAGCTGTAAAACGGAATGAGGAAGACCATGG